TGGTCTCAGTGGGAGACTCAGAAATAGACAGGCTTCCCCGGCTCCCCCAGCTCTCCCGGCACGTGCCTGGCAGCGCCATTTCTGAGCCAGGAGTGGGGAGTGGCAACAGGAGGACTGGGGAACACCACAGGGGTCCTGGCCCACTGCCCACCCTCGCTAAAGTCTAGTGCCTTTTGATTCCTGTGACCATGAAGCTGAGGATGCCCCAACAACTCCCCTGAGCCTCGCCCGAGCCTCCTTTACAGCATGGGGTCGGGGACGGACCCCAGGTCTGCGCTCGCTCCCATGTCTGCACCCCCACACCCACACCCCCACATCCATGCGCACAGATTGCAGTGCTGGGCACTGGGGCTGCTCTGCAGCTCTGTGAGACGAGCCGGGAGCTGCAACCTCATGGCCCTTGCCCTGCCTCTGCTGGTGCTCTGCCCGAGAGCGTGTGCCTCCTTGGAGGCCTGAGCCCACCCGCCTGTCCCAGGTGACAGGGCTCACCCTTCTCCTGCTGCGGGTCCTCGGCCCGCCCCTTCTGGAACCAGCCTAGGGCTCTGATTCCAGCCCCGTCTGAGGTCTCTGTGCTGCAGCCAGAGTAGATGACAAAGCTGTGGGGACAGCAGCCACAGGCCAGTCCTCCTCCCTGCAGAAGCCTGGCTGCTGCCCGAGGGGTGGAGCTGAGTCTCTGGTAGCAGGGGGTAGAATGGGGCCTTTCACAGGGCCATCTGGGGCCCATTCAGTGTGCAGCGTCCCTGCTGAGAGCCAGCACTGTCCCAAGTCCTGCATGTCTCCCAGGGCCCTCCCCTTCAGCCCAGGCTTGTATGTGATGGGGTCTGGGAGGTCTGTGTCCCTTGCTAGCGCGTTCAGCTCTGGACTCCCCCGATAGCAGCCAGACGAGTCTTGGGGCATTTCTGAATGCAGATCCAGGTGCGGCACCCCTTCTGCCAGCCATCTCACCTGTTGCTTCACCCCCTTAGCGCCTTTCAGGGGCTCCAGGAATAAATCCGGACTCCAGGCCCTGGGGCCCTGTGCAGCCTCAATTTCCACACACCCCGGTCACGGAGGCACACCTGGCCCACCTCAGGCCTTCTGTGTGGCCCGTCCTCCACCCCAGGGCTCTCCCTCCACAGTCTGTCTCTGTGACCCTCACACACTGCTGCTGGGCGGCTTCTGTACAACCTTGTCAGATTCCTCTTACATGAAGCCTGCCAGGATCGCTCCTCCTCTCCACTGTCTTCAAGCCCAGCTCATGAGCAGGTGTGGGGGTATGGGATCTTCCCGGGGTGACTCCCCTGCATCCACTCATCCATCCTGTCCTCTGTGGGCGACCAGTCTAACGGGGTTACTGCCTGTTGCCTGTCGTTCCCTCCAGACTGTGAGCATCCCCAGGGTCAGAAACAGCCCTTCACCAGGTGACTGGACAGTGCTTTGTGGGCATCACTAGGGAGACCGGGAGGCCCCGGCCCCTGGGGCCTGACCAGAAGTGGGCAGGGGCAGATTCAGGTCTCCCAGCCATCAAGATGGGACTTGGAAACAGTGGCTGGGGCTGGAAGATGCACACGGCCCAGTGCGGGGAGGGGCTGGCTGCTGTGCTGGCTGTCCGGGGAGGGCGGCGGAGCCCACCCCAACCCATAGCTTTGTGCAAAGACAGAGATCACAGAGCAGGGGACATAGATCTGGAGGCATCTTCCTCATGGGGGCGAAGGGTTTGGCTCCCAAATGGGAGCCCTTGTCTCCCACAGCGGCCGGAGGCTCCGGAAGTGGGACGGTTTCTGGCTCTGACCCAAGGACAGCATGATTTTAGTTCCAGAAATAATTGGAGCTCAGAACTAATTTCGGCTAATTTCACCTCCCTCTCCTGACAAGGCTTTTATTTGTTTTTGTTTTGTTTTGTGGGTTTTGTGTGTGGCTGCGTCCTCCAGCTCCCTCAATGGGAGTGTCTGGGAAGGCCAGCTCCCTGTCGTCCTGGCGCTGGGCCGGTGGTGTGGGTGGGCTGGGCTCCTTGGCACCCGCGGGAGGAGATTCCCGGTTCTGATTCAGCAGCAGTGACAGGAGGTGGAGGCTCATCAGGTCCTGAGACACTCCCCTGTGCAGGATGGGTGGGGAGCCAGGGCTCAGGGCAGGTCTCTCTGAGCTGACAGGGAGGCTGTGTGCAGGGCACTGAGCTCCCTGCCTCTGGACCCCTGGAGCTGCAGCCTGAGCTCTGGGTTGCTACCCGCCCCTCCCAGAGCCAGCAGGCGGGAAAGGCATTTCCTCTGTGGATCTCTGCGCTGCAGACCCACTGCCTGGTGAACAGCCCAGACCAGGCAAGGTTTGGGCGACAGATCCGAAAAAGGAAACCCCGCATGTCCGGAGCAGGGGCAGGGACTACCGGGCGCCGGCTCTGCACCAGGGCGGCTGGCACTCCCGCGCGGGAGTCGGACTGCATTTTGCCAGCAAGAGGCAGCCACTGAAGCCTTGCCTTCTCCCCTCCCCCTCTATGGGAGGCGACCTTTAGGGGCGTGCCAGCCACCTCTCACTCTTGCAGACCCTGGGTGGCATTTGCAGGCAGCGACCATGGTGCAAAATGTAATTGTAGTGTTTTTCCGCAGACGGCTGAGCCAAAGACCCGCTGTGGAGGAGCTGGAGAGAAGAAATATCTTGAAACGTGAGTAGCTGGGATTCCTCCGGAGGTTCCCCTCCCGTGTCCGAGACTGCTGCCAGCCCATCTCTGCGCGCTCAGTGGCCGGGGTCCCAGGAAGTCCACGCAGCTGCGCGTGGAGAGCAAGCCCCTCTGGGCGCTGGACGCGTTCTCTCTCCCCCCCGGTTCAGGCTGTCGCTGTTTTCAGGGCATTTCCTCGGTCAGCACCAACATCCGGTTTGCATGCTGGCTTCAGGCAGTTTTCCCTGGCAGTTTTGGTGGGGCTCCAGGAAAGACAGGCCAGCTGTGGACAGTGCCACATATCCGACCAGAGTACACACTCTTGGTCGTCACACCCGGGAGTGTAAAGGAACTGGGAAACTGTAAGGACGTTCCCTCAGGGCTCTGAGGTCCCGCACCCTGAGTCCCCCATCAGGCAGGCAGCTGTGGGTGATGCTGAACACAGGGTCCAGGGCATGCCCTGGGATCTAGAACAGCACCCATGTCACCGCCGTTGCTGACGGCGCGGGTGGTAAAGCTTCTTCTGAACTATCTTGGCAGGTAGTTCTGTCTGGTCAGCAGACCGGTTTTTTACATACTTTCTACAGAAAGTGCCTTCTGAGGGCCCGGGGTTTGCGTTTGTCTTCTTCGTCCCTCTATGTGCTGAGCACTGAAGACATTCTGAGTCTGAGTTTGGTTTATGAGCACCTTTGTGCAAAGTTGTAATGGCACCCAGACTGCCTTTCCAGTAGAAAGCAAACCACAGGTCCAGCCAGTGGCCTGGCAGCTGAGGTGCTGGGTCCCGCATGGCTGAGCACGCAGTTCAAGTCCTGGACCTGGGGTTTGAGAACTCTCTGGACGTGTGTGCACGCGTGTCCACAGTTCCGCAAGGAGGAGAGGTGGAGGAGAAGGGGGTTATGGTGAGACTGCCCTCCATGGGGGTGCGTTCTCACTCTCCTTTTCCTTCTCTCTCTCCCACCAGCTCTTGCACCTTCTGGCAAAATTTGAATAAGGGGGACACACACTTGCTGAGGAGGCACTGAACTCTGCGCACCCCCCTTTCTGTGCCTTCATTAACTGCTCTAGGCAAGTCCCTTCCAATAGGGGGTTCAGAAATTTTAGCCCTAAGGGACCAGCAGTTAGTGTAATGGCTGTGTCGCTGAACTCCCACGTAGCCGACCATGATTTGAGTCCCAGACCTGGTGGGTTAAACTCAGGCCGGGCACGTGTGCGTGCGTGCCCAAGATCCTGAGAGAATGGAGGAGAAGGGATTGAAGCATGGCCATCCCCCCTGGGGGGTGATTTCTCGCTTTCTGTCTCTCTGTCCTTCTCTCTTTCCAGCGAGTGCACACGCCCTGTAGCAAAAAAACCTCTCCAAAAAAAAGAAAGAAAGAAAAAGAAATTTTAGCCCTAAGATCCTAGTTTTATTTTTTCAAACTTAAGACATGATGACTACTTAGGACCAGCATATGGCATAATGGCTCCGTTGCTGAACTCACACATAGTTGACTGTGGTTCAAGTCCTGGACCCAGCAGCTTAAAATTCACACTGGACACATTTGCGTGCGTGCCCAAGATCCTGAGAGGAGAATGGAGGAGAAGTGATTGCAACGTGGCCATCCCCCCTGGGGAGTGATTTCTTGCTTTCTGTCTCTCTTTCTTTGTCTCTCTGATAAGTACATGTACCTTGTAGCAAAAATATCTTTAAAAAATATAGATATGGTGGCGACTGGGCTGCTATATAAACTGGGCCGTGTCTGAAGGTTCTGAGAAAGTTCTGCCTTGACCATGTGCGCAGTCAGGCTGTTTCAGCGACCGCATACCTGAACCTGTGAAAACCGAGCTCAAAGGCAGAGATGCCTCCGACGCAGAGTCCAGCTCGAGCCGGGCCTGTTTGAGGCTGGGAAAGTGCCCCTCTCCAAGCAGCCAGCTGCCCCGAGCAGGAAGGGCCTTCAGCCCAGGCCCTCAGCCTGGGACCAGGGCTCTGGGTCTTCCAGGCGCTCTTCCCTCCCAGTGTGGACAGCCAGGGCCCCCACGAACAAGCGCTCTGGTTGTTGTCCTTCACAGCCCCTCGCCAAAGCCTTCAAAAGAGAACCATGTGTGGCGACTAGGGAGCCAGCCGGGGGTGCACAGGGAAGGGACATGGCCGACGACCACCGACACCACGCTGCTGCCAGTGAGCCACGGGGAACGTGGTCGGCCACCACAAACCACAAACACCACATCACCACCAGTGAGCCACAGGTGGTCTACACTCGGAGGCCTTCTGAGGGTCCGAGTGGGAGGGCCTGAAGGTCTCACTCTAGGTTTGTGGTGGGTGTTTGGTTGGTTTCCTTTCCTTTTCTTTGTTTTCTGGGGACAAGACTAGAGTAGCGACATAGGGCCCCGAACATCAGATGCAGAAGCCCTGGACGCCCGGGCCTTCAGACACTCACTGCGTTGTGCTTCCTGCCGAGTCCCTCCTCGCAGTGCCGTCCCTTTGAAGTCACTTCCATCCAAGCGGGGGACTCGTGACTGAGCGCGTCTGAGGGAGGCTCAGAGCTCTGCCTGTGTACTCACGCACGGATGCAGGACGGCGGCCCTGTGCCATGTGCCGGAGCGTCCCTGGCTCACGGACTGTACCCTGGAGAAGCCGAGTCTCCCTCTCTCCTGCACTGACCTTGGTATACTTCGATTTCCTTTTCCATGAGCGTTCTGAAGGCCCCGCGTCTGATAACGACCGCTGTAATGCACAGGCCCGGTCTGCGGCAGCGCGCTCAGAGCTCGGCGTGTCCCCGTTGAATCGTCGCAGCACCTTTGTGGGGCTCACGCTGTTGTCCCCTGTGACATGGACGCAAGCCTCTGCTCATGGAGGTGGCCTGACCACTCACAAATGAGCGTTGGCAGGTTGGAGCTGGAGCTCAACCCAAGTCTGCCTGGCTCCGTGGTCTGGGTTCTGCAGGAGCTCACCCCAGAAAATGCAGTTAGAGGTCCCAACCCGGGTCCCTGGTTTTGCACACAGCGCAAGGTTTTCTGGCTCTGGGAGCGAGTCACAGACACGTCAGGAGGGACTCCTTGGGGGCCTCTTCAAGGCCAAGCTGCTGTGCCCCCGGGGCTCGACGACGTTCCTCACACCTGAAAAACCTGAGATCTGATTTTGCTTGCTTGTTTTTTCACAGCGAGGCTGCATTTGGGATTTATCCATGGCCTCTTTTTATGAAGTCTGAAAAAGGAATTTCAGATCATCACCTAAATCCCTCCTGGCTAGCTTCCCATTTGATGCTCAGTTTCTTCTAACCTGTCATCCGCCTTCTGGGCAGAGCTTATGTGAATGGTTTACCCTGGTCTCACGCGTGGGTAAACAGGAGTTTCCTTTTCTAAACTGCCCTAGTCTGAGCTGGCTCCCTAAAACAATGATGAAAACCTGCAGTGGCTACCATAGCCAGCTCCCTCCACCCTCCGCACGCGGGTTTGAGGTGCGCCTTCCAAGTGAAGGCCGGCGTGCGGCCGGGTTACCTGCCAGCGGGGTCTCTCTGCAACCCGCGGTGCCTCTGGGACTTCTGGCGTGACCCCTCCATGGGAGCCGCGCCCTGCCCAGCCAGGCGCTGAGGCTGTATTTAGCAGCAGAGTGCACCAGAAATAGGACGCCGTCATGGGGCTTCCTGGCAAAGGCGGCATTTTATACTACGGCGCTGCACTCTGCTCTGCTTTTAGCTCCCGCGTGTAGGTGCGAGCACAGCTTGAATGTTAATAGTCGCAACTCGCCAGGCAAAGCCAGCCCGGGAGGGATCTGGGCTGCTTCACACGGCACATACGTGTGAGCAGTAGCACTTCAGGAAGAGACGGTCGGCTGGCCGTGGATGTGTCTGGACTTGGGATACCCTAAAAGTGTCAATTCCAGGCAAGCATGTACTGCCCAGAGTCTGAACGGGGTGCTCCGTATCGTACGCTGATTGGCCAAAAGGTACACATCCATATTAAGTGGGAAAAAAACCACCAGTGACACTGCTAGTCACGCTCATCTGCAGGCCCGACGGGTATTTGGGGTGCTGTTTGTGGTCCGAAATGGGCTCGTACAGATCAAGGTATTGGGGAGAGCAGGGAGAGGGGCATAATCAGAGGAAGAGGCAGACGTGCAGGGGTCTCTGCTTCCTCGAAAGCCACAGCAATGCGAGGCCGAGGTTGCTTCTGACGGAGGAAAGGGCCCGGAGGGAGGGCCAGCGGGAGGGCAGCTGTGCACGGGCATCTCCAGCCCCAAGCCAAGTACTGCCCCGTGTGGGAGAAGGGGCCCGCGCCGGGGTGTCTCCAGGGTCCCGCGGGCACGTCCCTGCTAGAAGGAAGCGGGCTCAACCTGTGTTTTCTGTTTTGACCTTTTCAGAAAGGAATGACCAGACGGAGCAGGAGGAGAGGAGGGAGATCAAGCAGAGGCTGACGAGGAAGGTACGCCCCCCCACC